CTTCTTCTACCATGTGGATCCTGGGGATCAAACACAGGTCATCAGCTTGGTGGCAGGTACCTTTACCTGATGAGCCATACTGGAGTACTGGGATTAGTGGCATAGCTGAGTTTTTGGTGTTCGAGATAGGGTCTCATGCTGTGGCTTAGTCTGTCCTGAACTCACGGCAATCTTCCTGCTTCAGCTTCCTGATCGTTGTGATTGCAGAGGCGGTACCATCATGCCCAGATCTCCTGCCAATCTTAAACACATTTTTTAATAATCAGTTTCATAAACCATATCAAATCTCAAAAAACAATGTTAGCTTTCCATTGTCTAGAGAATAGCCTAATGACAGTTTTGAAAAGCTTGCATCAGTCGACTGTCCCATGGCAATATTTCTTACTGCTTTTCTCCACGGACCTGTCTTTACCTACTTGAAAAGCACAATACTAGCTGGGAGTTTTGTCACTTAGTAGAATATGTGCTTCTAATAGGTGAAGCCCAGGATCAGTCCCCAGCACTACAGATCAACAATCATCTGCCTCAGAGGAGTCCAAATGTATACTTGCTTTTACAAACTCTTGCTTTAAAAACTAGAAATATTTTATGTGTATGAGTGCTCGCCTGCAGTATGTAGATGCCTAATGCCCTTGGAGGCCAGAAAAAGACTTTGGATCCTCTGACTGGAATTACAGACTGTTGTGAACTTCCTCAAAGGTGCTGGGAACCACACCTGGGTCCTTTGCAAGAACAGCAATTGCTCTTAACTCTGAGCCATCTCTCCAGCCCCTAACCTGGTATTGTCTAGTAAACAAAGCCTGGCTTTTACTAGGGACTATCAGTAAGCCCTTTACAATGAGTATTTTTGTGAATGCATCACATTGTTGGAGGCTCACAGCTCTTGCATGCTTTTGTAGATCCACAGGAAATCCAGTGACTGCATTAAGCATGGTAGAGCAAATAGAATTAGTCAGGTGTGAAAAGGATGAGCAGCTCTGTGGCTTCTATATCCTGGCACCTAGGGATGTCGGAATATCATTGTTACTGTGGTCATCACAGGATTCCTGATTGTGCACGTGTGTGTATATGTGCACGGATGTGATCCCAAGGCCGACAAGAAGCCCCCAGCGTCATCCCTTTCTGTATGATGGATGTGCAGAGGTTGCAGCCTACTGGAATTCTCAGCACATCATCAAATCCGCACTAAGATGATATAGGACAAAGAATGACACGACAAAAATTTGGGCACTCAGCCCAAGAAATGAGGTCATGCTGCAGTGAAAGCAGGCAGATGAGTGAGAATTTGATCTGAAGAGAATGCAGCTTGTAGCATTCTGTGGCAAAGAATCTGATGTGCCTGCCTGTATGGAGCTACAGCTATCAGCTGGCAGTCATGGTCTCTGAGGCGACACTATCAGTGGGTATCAAAAACCCAGCCTTCAATGATCTTCTTTGTTCACATTTGAGACTCCATTAGGAGAATTAGCATCGAATGACAAGTGCCAGGACTGCTAATCACATCTGAAGGAAGAATATTAAATTGCTAAAAAAAAAGGTATTCTCGCCAGGTGTGGAAGTACACCCTTTAATCCCAGCACTCAGGAGACGGAGGCAGGCGGATCTCTGTGAGTTCAAGGCCAGCCTGGTCTACGGAGCGAGTTCTCGGACAGCCAGTGCTGTTACATAGAGTAACCCTGTTTTGAAAAACCCAAGGGAAAAAAAAGGCATTTAGCAATCTTTCTTGTTGGACCCCAAATAACAACACAGAAACTTACCTTTATTTTTTTTTAAATTTATTTATTTTATATATATAGTGTTCTGGGCACCAGATCTCATTATAGATGGGTGTGAGCCATCATGTGGTTGCTGGGAATTGAACTCAGGACCTCTAGAACAGCAGTCAGTTCTCTTAACCTCTGAGCCATCTCTCCAGCCCCAGAAACTTACTTTTAATAATGAACGCTTGGCCTTTAGTTTAGGATTGCTTCCAACTAGCTCTTGTAACTGGAATTAGCCTGTTTCTATTCATCTGTGCTCTGCCAAATGGCTCGGTTACCTCTGCTCTGCACCATATGTCCAACTTCTTCAGGGTCTCACTGGTCTCTCTGGTGTAAACTGCACGCCTAGATTCCTCCTCCACGTCTCTCTCTTCCTGGAAATCCCATCTATCTCTCCTGCCTAGCTGTTGGCCACTTAGATCTTTATTAAACCAACCATAGAGACACATCTTCACACAAAGGTTTTCTCAGGCTGGTGAGATGAGTCTGCTGGTAAAAGAGTTTGTCACATAAGCCTCACACTTGAGTTCAATCCTCAACCCCTGTAAACAGAGAACTGACTCCACAGTTGTTCGATGGCCTCCAAATGCATGCTGTGTTACACGAGACCACATGATCAAGCACTTATCTAAATGGCTTATTATTAATTAAAAACCAGTAGTCAGATATTGGGATAGAACAGTGATAGATTAAGAAAACTGTGGAGGGGCTGGAGAGATGGCTCAGTGGTTAAGAGCACTGGCTGTTCTTCCAAAGGTCCTGAGTCAATTCCCGGCAACCACATGGTGGCTCACAACCATCTGTAATGAGGTCTGGTGCCCTCTTCTGGCCTGCAGACATACACACAAACAGAATATTGTATACATAATAAATAAGTAAATATTAAAAAAAAAAAAAAAAAGAAGCCGGGCGATGGTGGCGCATGCCTTTAATCCCAGCACTCGGGAGGCAGAGGCAGGCGGACCTCTGTGAGTTCGAGACCAGCCTGGTCTACAGAGGGAGTTCCAGGACAGGCTCCAAAGCCACAGAGAAACCCTGTCTGGAAAAAACCAAAAAAAAAAAAAAAAAAAAGAAAGAAAGAAAACTGTGGAGGAACAACCAGATGACCCTCTCTCCACACTTCCCAGATCAAAAGGGCCCACAAATCTTTCTAAGCCCCTCCCTACTCTTTCCTGTGCCTCTTTATCATATCCCTGGGTCCTCCAAAATCTCTCTGGGTAATTCTGGCCAGCTAGTAATTGATTCTACCCCCTGATTAACAGTCTCAGAGTGTCACAGTGAGATAAAATAGCAAGCCCCTTCCCATTTATCTACATAAAAAGAAAAGGTTTTAACTCTAACACAATAAAACTATATACAAGAACAATTATCAGGCATTGTCTGAATAAAAAGGAAAGGTTTTAATTCGAACACAGTAAAACTATATATACTTAGAACAATTATCAGGCAAGAATTATATTTACAATGCAAAGTCCACTTATTTTTTTTTCTTTTGTTTTGTTTTTTCAAGACAGGGATTCTCCATGAAACAGTCCTGGCTAGGCTAGAACTCACTTTGTAGACCAGGTTAGCCTCAAACTCAGAGATTTTCTAGCCTCTGCCTCCTGAGTGCTGGGATTAAAGGTGAGTGCCATCATCACCTGGCCTACTCCATTTGTATTTAACAAATTCAGAGAAATTACTCTATTATCATATCTTGATGAGTCCGAAGTTTATACCTAACCCACTTTCTACCATAACTTGTATTACCAGCCTAAAAAAATCATTTTAAAGACCTTAAAACATTTTCTTAAACAACTTAAAGCTTTTATGTCTCTCAACTTTATAAACTTTACATCTCTTTTATAAGTTTTTTTTCTGAATTTGGTAACAAAGGAAACAGTATAACTATCTATTCTTCAACCCCACTGGAGACCTGAGAAGGATAAACTAATACCTGAGTAAACAAAGCAAACAACTTCCAAAACTATAGAAAGGACAGAAACATCCTGGCTGCCTGAACAGCCACCCAAGGTTCCTCTGCAACACTGGGGCATCCATCTTTGGCCTACAGGCCTGTCTAGAATATCTGACATACTTTTCTATGAAGCAGGAATTTTGAAGGACTATCTTACTTTGTCTTGACAAAGCTCGGCAGCTGCCTTTTGTGTCCTGCTTGTACAGTTTGGACAGTACACTTACTATCAGCAGTGGAGGCTAGGAAAGTTTCTTGTCCAAGGACTAACTTTGCAACAAATGAAAGCAAACTCTATATGGAGGTTCTTTGGTGTCTATCATCTTCTCTGAAGTAGATTGGTGTTCCTAGGAACAGATGTATATCACTGTCATGAAGAGCTTTATGTTATAAAATATCTTAAATGCCATATTCTGTAGGTCTCTTAAGTGTTTGAAGAGCACATAAAATGTATCTGTTTGGCCTTGTGGTTAAGAGCATTGCCTGCTCTTCCAAAGGTCCTGAGTTCAATTCCCGGCAACCACATGGTGGCTCACAACCATCTGTAAAGAGGTCTGGCGCCCTCTTCTGGCCTTCAGGCATACACACAGACAGAATATTGTATACATAATAAATAAATATTTAAAAAAAAAAAAAAGAAAACATATCTAATATGACTACAAGACTAGTCTGATTCTTACTATACTGATGACTAACTATTAAACCTGCATTTAATGATCCTAAATAGTTTATAATAATAGCTCTCAAGGACTAGTACTTTTTTACTTTTTCTTGGTTTTTCAAGACAGGATTTTACTATTTAGCTCTGGCTGTCCTGAGACTCGCACTATAGACCAAGCTGTCCTTGAATTCACTGAGATACACCTGCCTCTGCCTCCCAAGTGCTGGGTCACTGCCACATTGCTTTATATTACATTTTTGATATAACAAAAATGAATGGAGTCCAGTCTCCTGTTCAAGTGTACATTCTGTTCTGTTACGTTAGTGGACTTAATATTCTTACTTCTCTTCCTGGGAAGGGGCACTGCAGCTGGAGCCCAAGGTCTCTGGCATGCTAGGTAAATGCTATAGTCTCAACCCCCCACATCTCTTGCTAGATCAAAGTCAGTTATTAAAACATCATTTTTTTAAAAAAGGAATGATATAAAACCATGTTTTCCAAGATGAAGAGGAAAAAACACATATTCCATACCTAGACCTGCACAAAGTCATGCCCATAGGATTTACATATACTGCTCATTTGCAAGACACAGATAATACTAAGACAACCACATAATAGCAGAGGATTTTTAAAAATTCAAACTTTATTACCTTTTTGGACACTGCAGTAAACAACTGAAATGCTTAGGCCATTCAAGAGAACCAACAGATAGACACCACACAAGGCCCTGTGCCTGCTGGACTAGATTTGATCTGTGGCTCTGCCTCTGCAGTGCACAAAGAGAGTCAATCTATTCATAAAACAAATACCAGCTTCCACCTGAGATAGCTCCTCCTAATGACCAATGCATTCACTGCTGATGAACTTCAGCTTATACCTAATGCTGTAAGCCCTATCTCAGTCAATCTTAGTTTTTGTCAGAAAAACAACAAAAAGGTACTGAATCTAGTACAGCATTCCCAGCTATCCAGGGACCAAATTCCAGATCAAGAAGACAGAGAGTGTCTCTATAGTTCCATGTTCCTAGTCTTGATCCACATACCAAATACCTTGACGCACTCTGGCGTTCAGTCCATGCCTACACCACACATGTCCTCTGAATATACAAGTAGTTTACAAGCCATAAAGTATAAAGTGCTTTACCTCATACTCAGACTGCATAGAAGAGATTGGCCTCAAACATCACATGATACTTTAAAGGGAATCTTAGGAGATTTACTCTTTTGAGTGTGTGTATGGGAAGTGATGGGGCCGAGGGTGAAAGTGAAAATGGTGGACTTGCTCCAGGTCAGAGGAAAACACAAAGTCTCACCAACTTTCGGAAAGATCCTGGAGACAAAGGATGCATCCCAGTGCTAAGTGCCTCTTCTGACTCTTCTCATAGCTTGTCTGTCCTGATACCTATAGGAACTACCAAATCTGACAAGAGACTGGCAAAAGGCTGTAAACTATGAAAATCATAGTCACATGGTCCAAATGTATACATAAGAACACACTGATGAAGTTCTAAATCTGACATGACTTCTTCCATACGTGCTGTCTCAGTTCTTTATTGTTGCCCCTCCTGCAAACTGATGTGATGACTGATGACGGAGAACATCAGGAGCGCCAGAAGGAGGAAGTCAGAAAGCCTTTGGGGACAGGAATCTCCCTGCGTTGCAGACATTTCTGGATATGAAAGATGAAGAAAACAGGATGAATTTCTGAAAAAACTGCCTCTAGTGTTAACAGTGGGGAGACACTGAGGGACAAGACCCAGACCAGAGAAAGAGAAGACAAAAGTCTAACGGATCTGTGGAAACCTAAGACAAATGTAGAGTTGTTTTTATGCCTGCCTACCCATTTCCCCATAGCATGGCCCCATCTGTCCATCACTATTTTATAGGTTCCTAGAAGCTGGTGGTCAGTGGGCTACCTTGACAGAACTACTTGACAGAGCTCTAGATGACCTGTTAAGATGAATGTCTTGGTACTTGGAAATGAAGGAAAAATCCAAGCGAAAGTACAGTATGGTCTCAGGGCGAAGTAGCCACACTCATAGTTCACTTCACCTGAGACTGACAGAAGAACCTTGGGTAACGAGCCAAACAGTTTGTAAGATATTTGTTACACACACCTTACCATCTAATACTCTGAGGACAGCTACCTGATGGGCAGTGTGGAGAATGTATACAGGGGTGAAATGGCATACTGTGGTCTAAAATGCAAGGAGAATTATGAACAAAAAGCAGAGTGTGGGAAAACAGAAGAGACGGCTATCAGGTCTGGAGACCCAAGACTGCAGGACCCAAGTGTGTCTCAGGCTACAGTTTAGGGAATGTTGGAAGGGAGCATCTTACCTCCAAGAACTGCTTCAGACGTATGAAAGAACCCATCTGTCCTGAGCTTGTGATGGCTTCAATTCTGTAGGGAAAGGGAGGGAGAAAAAGAGAAAGAGATGTGAGTCAAGTGAGGACTAGATCCACTGACTCTTCTAAAGAATGCTGGCTGTGCTGGGCAATGGAGTTGCACATCTTTAATCTCAGCACTCAGGAGGCAGAGGCAGGCAGATCTCTGTGAGTTCAAGACCAGCATAGTCTCCAGAATGAGTTCCAGGACATCCAAAGATACAGAGAAACCCGGTCTCAAAAGAACAAAATGAAACAACAAAAAAAGAACGCTGGCTGCTCTTTCAAGGGGTCCTTGCTGGTCTTCCGAACAGACAAAGGAGAGGGACACACTGCTCTTTTCTGAGGTCTTTGTGACCAGATAGGATGAGTGCCACCAAAGCATTCCCCCTGCCTGAAATCCCAATGAATTTGGAAGAGCACTTCAGGGTGAAAGGGTGAAAAGCATACCACAGTCAGAGAATCTGGGGGGGCAGATCAGCTTCTCTAACTGACTTAATGATGGACTCAACTTCATGGCTCAATTCATGACTACTTGTAATCACAAGTATTAGAAACAACACATAAACACACCAGAGCCAGGCATGGTCACGTACACTAATCTTTAGCACACAGGAGACAGAAGTAGTAGGAATTCAGTGTCACCTTTGGCTACATAGTACGATCCAAGTTCAGCCTGGGCTGGAGAGATGGCTCAGTTAGTAAAGTGCATGCTGCATAAGCATGAAGAGTTGCATTCTGGCCGGGCAATGGTGGCGCACGCCTTTAATCCCAGCACCCGGGAGGCAGAGGCAGGCGGATCTCCTGTGAGTTCGAGACTAGCCTGGTCTACAGAGCGAGTTCCAGGACAGGCTCCAAAGCTACAGAGAAACCCTGTCTCAAAAAACAAAAAAAACAAAAAAAAAAAAAAAAAAAGAGTTGAGTTCCATCCTCAGAACACACAGGAAAACAAGAGATCGGGGTATGCACTAATATCCTAGAGCTTGGGGACAGCAACAAAATAATGCCTGAGGCCTGGTGCCCAGCATTTCCAGACAGTTCTAGCTTCATGAGAGATACTGGTTCAGCAACACCTCTGAGTTACATGTGCATGTGCACACACAACTCCCCCCACATACACCTGGGCACAGAGCTCAAGCCTATAATCTCAGGATTTGTGATACTGAGGCAGGAGACTGCTGAGGTCCAGGGCATCCTGGCCTACAGAGTGAGATCTTGTTCCAACTCCTCCTCAAAAATCAGCCAGTATTATCTCAGTGGTGCGAGAGTGCATGTATCTCATGGTTTGAATGGAGCCTAGAATGTGCTAGATAAGTGCCCTACCACCCACAGCCAACATCAAATATCTTATTTCAACATCTTCCTAATTTATACTTTTCCTTAACAATATTTAAAAGGTGTTTTCATTGAAATTCATAACCATTTACTCAAACATTAAGGAGAAGAAGTCGGAGAGATGGCACAGTGGTTAAGAGTACCTACTGGTTTTGCAGAGGACCTAAGTTCAATTCCCAGCACCCATGAAGAGCAGCTCACAACTCCAGCTCTGGGGGCTCCAACACCTCTGGCCTCTAAAGGCACATGCATACATTATATGTGGGTTTGGGAACATTCTCAGGTGCAAATATATACAGTTAAAAAGAAATTTCTTTAAAAAATCAAAGAGAAGAATGAGTAGAAAGATTTCCCCCTTTTTTCGTTTTTTTTGTTTTGTTTTGTTTTGTTTTTCGAGACAGGGTTTCTCTGTAGCTTTTGGTGCCTGTCCTGGAACTAACTCTTGTAGACTCCCCCTTTTTTCAAGACAGGGTTTCTTTGTTTAGCCTTGACTATCCTAGAACTAGCTCTGTAAGACCAGGGTGGCCTGAACTCTATTGCCTTGAACTCTACCTGCCTCTGCCTCCTGAGTGCTGGGATAAAAGGTATGAGTCATGACCATGACTGCCCAACAATATTATTTTTAAACAGATCTATGTCCACATCATGAGGACCAAACCCAGGCCCTTGCTCATGCTAGGCACATGCTCAACCACTGACCCTTGTTCATTTTTTACTTAAGTCAAAACTACCACACACTTGGGAGGCAAGATGGCTTGGTGTGTGTGTCTGTGTGTTAAAATTCTTGATACCAAGCCTGATTTACCTGAGTTTGATCCCAGGAACCCATAAGGTGAAAGAAAAAACCTTGTTCCCATATGCTGTCCTAACTTCCAAGTGTACACTGTGGCATGCACAAACCCCACCCCAGCTCCACCAATAAACAAAACAAAAAACAAAAACAAATACAACTTTAAAATAAACCATGCACAAGATCCACAGCCAACAGTAGACAGAAAGCCAGCCAGGCTGGAGGTCTCCACTGGGTCCCTTCTCTCAGAGCTTGACGAACTCCACAGGAGAGAGAGGTTGAAGACAGCAGGAGAGCATGGCCTGTGTGATCAACTAAGCAGGGCTCACCGGGCTCACAGGAACTGATTGACAACCGTGCAGCCTGCATGGGTCTACAATAGGTCCTCTGCATAAATATGTTATGGTTGTTGGCTTGGGGTTTTGGGAGGACTCCTGACAGTGGGACTGGGGGTGTCTGACTCTTTTGCCTGCTCTTGGGATCCCTTTTCACCTACTGGGTTGCCTTGAACAGCCTTGATGTGAGGGTTTGTGCCTGGTCTTATCATACCTTATTGTGATGTGTTCGGTTGATGTCCTACAGAAAGGCCTGCTCTTTTCTGGGAGAAGCAGGGAGTAGGGAAATGGATTTAGGGGAGGGGAGGAGGGGGGACCCGTGAGGAGTGGATAGAGGGGAAACTGCGGTCAGGATATATTGTATAAGAGAAGAATAAATAAAAGTTGTGTTTTTTTTTTTTTTATAAAAAAAAAAGCCGAGACAGAGTTGGTAAGAGCTTGGGACAGTCTAAACTACGAAGACTCTGAAAACAAAAGAACAAGACAGAATGGAAAATAAAAACTCAGCCAAGAAACACACACAAACACTGCACTAGCACTGAGTAATGGCTTCAGTGTTACCTACTAACTCCTCAGTGGTTTGCTTAACAAGCCTATACCTGGGAAAGTAGTCCTCTTTGATGAGAAGAATCATCTTCCAGAACTGGACCTGGTACTGCTTCATGAGGGCATTCCCACACACCTAGAGGGAAAGTAAAAACCGTGAGCATAAAGAACAAAAATCAACTCATAATGAAGCACAATCACTCCTTTTCCTATCAGTCCTTCAAACATCTCAGCCACGGCATCACTTAGCTAACTAAGGAACTAAGGAATAGGTGGTAAAGACCCAATTTTCTTTTTTCTTTTTTTCTTTTTTTTTTTTTTGGCTCCCCGTCGGATTGTTGTTGTTTTCGAGACAGGGTTTCTCTGTAGCTTTGGAGCCTGTCCTGGAACTAGCTCTTGTAGCCCAGGCTGGCCTCGAACTCACAAAGATCCGCCTGCCTCTGCCTCCCGAGTGCTGGGATTAAAGGTGTGTGCCACCATCGCTTGGCAAGACCCAACTTTCTATGCGGGAAATGTAGTTCACTTGTGGACATCATCTAGCAGGCACAAGACCCTAAGTCCCTTTGTAACACTTAAGTCAACAGTCAAGGCTTAAAAAATACTTCATGGGGTTCCTCTCAGTTCCTCCTGTCTCAAAGATACAGGCTCAACATTGATACCATGACTTTAGGAGTTATGCCATAACTAAGAACTATGAAAATTACAGGCCTGGGGGTCTCAGATTTATCAGGGATGAACTCTGAGCATTCATTCATTCAAGGCAAGGCCTGCCTCACTGGGTAGCCCAGGCTGGACTCAAACTTGTGATCCTCCTGTTGAGCCTCCCTTGTACTGGGATTACAGCCATGGCAATCCCATGCTCGGTTCCCTGAAGCATGGTGTGACTCCTTCAGCTGGGTGTGGTGGTAAATGCCTTTATTGTATCACTTAGGAGGCAAAGACAATTGGATCTCCAGTTCCAGGCCAGCCTAGTTCACAGAGTAAATGCCAGGCCAGACAGTCATAATGGTAGTTTCTTTCTTTCTTTTTTGGGTTTTTTGAGACCGGGTTTCTCTGTAGCTTTAGAGCCTGTCCTGGAACTAGCTCTTGTAGACCAGGCTGGCCTCAAACTCACAAAGATCTGCCTGCCTCTGCTTCCTGGGTGCTGGGATTAAAGGAGGGTGCCACCACCGCCTAGCTTCTTTTTTTTCCCCCCTAAAATTTATTTTTTATGTATAGTGTTCTGTATGCATGTATGCCTGCAGGACAGAAGAGGGCACCAGATCTCATTACAAATGGTTGTGAGCCACCATGTGGTTGCTGGTAATTGAAGTCAGGACCTCTGGAAGAAGAGCCAGTGTTCTTAACCTCTGAATCATCTCTCCAGCTCTATAGTGGTTGTTTCTAAGGGCAGGAATGTATGAGCTTTTAGAGAGGTTACATTTTCTCCCCAGAAAGTAGGAATGAGAACAGTGGATAATGATCCCTCCAAACTGAGACTAGGTGACAGCACAGGATAGCTAGCATCCTTACAGAGCACGAAGAAGCAAGAAGAAAGAACATTTATGGAAGACTAGACCCAGGGAGATCCAGCTCCTGTTTCCAGTGTCTCAAGAGACTCACTTGCACAGACTACCATAGTTCCACTACTCAATTCAATATCCCTAAGATGAAGTCTACTTTTTTTACTTAGGCTAGGACATATATTATTGCAGAGGGCAGAAAGTACTTGTGTACACAGATCAGTAAAAGAGAGGCCAGGACAGTTAAACTCACAGGCATCCTTCAAAGGAAAGAGTATTTTGTTTGTTTGTTTGTTTTTTATTTTTCAAAACAGGGTTTCTCTGTGTAATAATCCTGGCTGTCTTGGAACTAGTTCCTATAGACCAGGCTAGCCTCAAACTCAAGAGATCTGCCTGCTTCTGCACCTCCACCACCCAGCTGCCCTCCTCCTGGATGTAGTCTACAACCTGGTGATCCTTTGCTGTCTGATGAGCCAGGCTCAGCCTATATCTTACAAAATTTGTTTTACTTATCCCAGGCCCTTTCCCCCTAAACCTTGAGCACTGCTTCTTAGCTCATAAAACCATCCTTGTTGGAGGTATAATTTGTGCTTCACAACAGCCTACGTGACTTCTATTTTGTCTTCGCCCCAGGCCAATCCTGACTCCCATGGATGTTATGTTTACCTCAGTCATTCTCCCTAGACCTTTATCTTGAGTACTGTTTCCAAGCCAACAAGAACCTATTTCAGGGATGAAGCCACTTGTACTTTGTAAGGAGTTTCACTGTAAACGTGTCTTAAGTATGTTGGACTCACAGAGCTATGTTGTTATCTGAAAAGATTTTCCAAACATGTGCTCTGCTTAAATATGGCAAAAATATATGAGCTGATGTCACATTCCAAGAAGTTCTGGCCCAGTACCGAGCTGAAATGAATTTCATTCTTCCCTCACCTGAAGTGTTTCCCTTGCCTGTGGACCCCGAGACATTATAACGAGAAGAACATGGTCGACAGAGAAGTCAAGGACAGTGAGAGGGAAAGTGGAAGTGAGGCCTGTCTCGTGCCTCATGCTGGTGACAGCAGCCTGAGCTGTTCACTACTTGGCTCCACCTCTAGGCTGCTTCCCCACTCATTTTACCCTATGTCAGAAGCCACCTCAACCACTGGCTGTCTCTCATTTGATAACGGAATTACCTCCAAGAAGTCAAACAGGAGAGTGGCTGTCACATCTGATAGAGGCTCCATGTTTAAGATCTGTGCCAACCAGCGCCAGCCATGATTTAAGCCATGAGGATGAGCCTGGAAGGAAAGCAACTGTGTCATGACTTCATTTCATTTTATTCACAGAATAAACTCCATGTGATCACTCAGCCATTAGACATGAACCCATGCATGCATGACAGAACAGAAAGAATTAAGCTAAGGAAATCTTACACAGGGTTTCTCTGCGTGACAGCCCGTGCTGTTCTGGAACTCGCTCTATAGACATGGTTGACCTCAAATTCACAGAGATCTACCTGCCTCTGCCTTCTGAGCGCTGGAATTAAAGGCATAGGCCACCACCACCTGGCTCAGTGAAATACTCTGATCCATGTGCAGGCTTCCACAAATTTCTTACATGGTTCCTTTGATATGTACACATCAATTTCATGTTCAGGGAACTTGCAGTTTGTTTGTTTCAGATGCAGTATTAACTTTGTAGCCCAAGCTGGCCTCAAACTCATGGCAATCCTCCCTGGCCCACTCTGCCATGGTGGGAGTGTAAAGGTAAACCATCTTGTCTGACTTTGTTGTTGTTGATTTTAGCTTTGGGGTTGTTTTTCGGTGTCTTTGTTTGGAGACAGGGTCTCATTAGCATTGGGTAGCCTGGGATATCTATGTAGACAAAGCTGCCTTTGAACTCACTGTCCTTGCTTCCTAAATGCTGGCAATAAAGGTGCGTCACTATGTCCCCAACACCTGACTTTTTGTCGGATTTTGGTATTGCAGTGACAGGGTCTCACTTTGCAGCCCAATTGATCTGGAACTTGCAATCCTTCTGCCACAGCTTCCTGTGCTGGAATTACAGGCAGCACAGCACAGCTGGCTGAAACTTTTGTAAATGCTATGACTTGTGGACTCTGTTCTAAGATTAGCTCTTTATGGCCTTAGCTGAGGCAGCAACTGAACTTTCTTGTTGATTCAAAAAAGCTGCCTAAGAATCAATATCCACTTCTCAAAAATACCATTGTCTTTACCATCATTCCACAGCACAGCCTCTCTGAAGAACAGCTTGCAAGAGCCCTCAAAGACCTGCTGACGGGCTTGGTCACCAGCCTGTGGGCTCTATTGGAAAGTGTGGTATTTTTTTATTTTTGAAAATATTTTTTTAAGCCGGGCGGTGGTGGCGCACGCCTTTAATCCCAGCACTTGGGAGGCAGAGGCAGGTGGATCTCTGTGAGTTCGAGACCAGCCTGGTCTACAAGAGCTAGTTCCAGGACAGGCTCCAAAATCACAGAGAAACCCTGTCTCGAAAAAAAAAATATATATATATGTATATATATATACATATATATATATTTTTTTCAAATATTTATTTATTATATATACAATATTCTGTCTGTGTATATGCACAGGCCAGAAGAGGGCACCAGACCTCATTACAGATGGTTGTGAGCCACTGTGTGGTTGCTGGGAACTGATCTCAGGACCTTTGGAATAGCAGGCAATGCGCTTAGCGATTGAGCCATCTCTCCAACCCCAAAGTGTGGAATCTTTAAGAAGTGGAGTCCAAGTTAGGTCACTGTGGACATACCCTTGAAGAGAATACTGAGACACCCACACACACACAAAAGCTTTTTGCATCTTTTATGAGCCAACTGCCATAGGCAGCTTTGCTCCGCCCATGCTTCTGCCATGATGCTTTGCTTCACCATGGCTCCAAAGGCAACTGGACCTAGTGTGAGACTGGAAGCTCTCCCAAATGTCCTAATCCATGCATAGGCTCCCACAAAGCAAAGAAGTTTCCTCCCTGTAAACTGATTATCTCAGTAATAGAGAGCTGACTAACACAAAGGCTGCAGTTGCTGTGGGTGCTGGGCTACTCCTATCAATACCAGGCTGTTTTACCTACCTCTTGCCGGTTTCCATATGGCCACTGGAGCTGGATGATGGCAGCATACAGACGGATCATCCCAGACATTCGTTTTAGAAAGTTGTCCTGTTGCTCCACCTTAGAATCCGTCACTTGGTAGCCAAGCATCCTATGTGTGAAGAAAAGATTCAGAATGATGAGGCCAAAACGAGGGTGACAAAGAGGCTTCTTTTTATGGTTTAAGGTATTACTAGTTGCATTTTGCATTATTATTACAATTATTTTATCTGAACAAAGCATGATGCTCAAATTTCTATTTATAAAATTTAGCTCTGCAAAGCAAACTCACCAGTAAACTCAGAAATAAGGAAACTGCCTAGGTGGTGGCTAGTTTTGACAACCTGACTCAAGCAAGAGTCATCTGAGACAAAGGAACCTCAATTGAAAAAATACCTCTATAAAAAGCTATAGGGAAGCCTGTCGGGCATTTTCTTATGGTCCTGGGTGCTGTGAGAAAGCAAGTGGAGAAACCATGAGGAGCAAGCCAGTGAACAGCAACCCTCCAAACCCACTGCATCGGCTTCTGCCTCCAGGTTTTGGTCCTGCTTGAGCTCCTGCTCTGCCTATTTTCCATAAAGAACCGTGATACAGAAGTGGGAGTGAAAGAAACCCTTTCCTCCCAAGTCACTTTTGCTTATGGTGTTTCATCACAGCAGTAGTAACCCTAGCTAAGATAGCTTCTCAATGAGATCTAAATGACTTACCCTATTTTACAAAGCTGTAAGATGAATAAATTCTAAGACTTAGGATTCTAGATCCAGTATTCATTCCAGTGAGCAAAAGTGTTTATCAATTACCACCATCCCAAATCTACAAATCCCAAAAGATGTCTAGTTTGTGTAAAAGACATTACTTTCCCCCTTTTTGTGAGATAGTGTTCTTGCTATGTAGCCCAGGCTAACCTCCCAAACCCTGGGATTACAGATATATAATACCAATCATGGTTCAAGACATTTTGTTTCTGGTAGGACATTTAAAGTACAGAGAAGGAGCTGTGAGAAAGACTGAAAATAAACTCAGATTCTTATATTCTCCTACTCTCCCTAGAGTGAATGAAAGAAGAGAAAATAACCTCACCGCTGATAGTCCTCCAAAGCCATCCCCTCCTTAAAAGCTGGGTAGAAAGGAACGGAGTAGGGACACTTCTTGTGGAGATGAGCAAGGATAAGTTCCCCCACTTTAGGATGGAGCGCCCAGATACCAGATGCCACCACTGCAATGGGGAATGCTGCTTCATGATGAGAGGCCACTTCCTCCTCACCTTGTTTCTAGGAACACAAATATGGACACAATTTCAGGTTAATATGCCAGCAAGGTTCAACACTGCCCACCAGCTTCTTCTGCCCATACTCCTGACAACAAGGTTTCTCACCACAAATTTCTCTGCCAGTTTGTACTGGACAAAGTCCAACCCTTGTGGGCTAAGAGTGACAGACACAGAACGTCCACCAGATTGGACGGGCTTTCCAGATAGCAGGCTATGGATCTTTTCAAAGACCTCCTTCAGCTTTGAACCTAGGTGAGAAAGAAAAAGCAACAAAATTGATAAAACTGCAGGTTGACATGATTGTACACACTTATACTAATGCCAGCATTTGGGAAGGAGGGTAGAAAGATCAGAACTCATGTTTGCGTTGAGTAAGGCCATGTTGTGAGTTTGAGACCAGTCTGTTCTACATGTGAACCTGTCTCAATAACATACAACTTCATGTCAATCTTTTTTTGCTGGTTTTCTGAGACAGGGTTTTTCTTTTCCTTTTTTTTTTTAACTTTATTTTATGCACATTGGTGTAATGATGTCAGATTCTCTGGAACCGGAGTTACAGACAGCTGCAAGCTGCCATGTGGGTGCCAGGAACTGAACCCAGGTCCTCAGAAGAGCAGTCAGTGCTCTTAACCACTAAGCCATCTCACTAGCCCCAAGACAGGGTTTTTCTGTGTAACCTCCCTATCTGTCCTGGAACTCACTTTGTAGATCAAGTTGACTTTGAACTCACAGAGAGCTGCCTCCAATGCTGGGGATTAAAGGCATGCGCCACCATGCTCAGCTAATGTCAAATCTTTTATTCAATGCAAATGACAAAGTAAACCATCTACCAAAATCCATCTGTACATAAGTGTAGAATCTAAACCCAAACACAGTTGCATATGGGCATATCACAGATGGCTGGGGAGAGGGCTCAGTGGATGAAGTCCTTGCTGCACATAAAATCCGAGCATGGCAGCATATGCTTGTAAACCCAACACTAGCAGGGTGGAGACAGGCAGATCCTAGGGACCCACTGACCAGCCAGTCTAGCTAAAATGTTAAATTCTTGTCTCACTGAACAAAGTGGAAGGACTAGAAAAATGGTTCAGCAATTACAAATACGTACTGCTTTTATGGAGGACCTAAATTTGATTCTCAGCACCCATAACTGCAGCTCTAAGGAGATATGATACCTCTAGCCTTGGAGGGTACTTTACTTTCATGTATAAAACTACACATACACATAATTAAAAATAAATTTTTTTTTTTTTTTTTTTGGTTTTTCGAGACAGGGTTTCTCTGTGGCTTTGGAGCCTGCCCTGGAACTAGCTCTGTAGACCAGGCTGGTCTCGAACTCACAGAGATCCGCCTACCTCTGCCTCCCGAGTGCTGGGATTAAAGGCGTGCGCCACCATCGCCCGGCTTAAAAATAAATTTTTAAGAATAAGTAAATTGGGGCTAGAGAGATGCTCAGTGGTTAAGAGGACTGGCTGCTCTTCCAGAGGACCCAGGTTCAATTCCCAGAACCAACGTGGAAGCTCACACCATGCATAACTCTTATTTCCAGGGATCCAATACTCTCCTCTAGTCTCCAAGGGCACCAGACACAAACACGGTACACGGACAAACACTTACACACATAAAATAAAAATAAATAAATCTATCTACAAATCATTCAGTAGTTAGAACATTTTCTGCTCTTCCAGAGGACCTGAGTTCACTTCCCAGCACTGACATCAGGCTGTCTCCAAAGGTCAAACTAAACCTTCTTTTTACTGAATTAATACCTCACAAGATTGCTACAGGAATGGAAAGCTGACACATTTCTTAACATGCATACAGAAGAACCCATAGCTGAGCAGTGGTGGCCCACGCTTTTAATCCCAGCACTTGGGAGGCAGAGGCAGCAGAGTCTCTGGGTTTAAGGCCAACCTGGTGTACAGAGCAAGTTCTAGGACAGATAGAACTACACAGAGCCAATGAAGAGCCAATTCTTTGAAATAGCTGTTTCTGTATCACCATCTACTGACTTTGACCTGATGCTTGAACCAAAGATAGGTAATATGTGAAATGGGGATGGAGATAAACAGGAAAGATGGGAAAGGTAACTATAATTTCTCCTTCCTGAAAGAGATCTAACTCCATTCCCACCACTGGCTATGTGAAATATTATGTGAAACACGTTAGGATAAACACTGTTTTTCCCCATGCATAAGCATTTTCATTACTCCAGTACTTACAATCAATGATTTAATTAACCAGAATCTCCAGTTGAAAAATACTTTATGAAATTCTTAATCACTTCAAAAGTCTAATGACTCAAAAATATCCCCTAAACCAGAGATGCAGGAGGAAACCAAAAATGAATTAAAAAGACATCACAGAGGGGCTTGGAGAGATGGCTCAAGTGGTTAAGAGCACTGCCTGCTCTTCCAAAGGTCCTGAGTTCAATTCCCAGCAACCACATGGTGGCTCATAACCATCTGTAATGAGGTCTGGTGCCCTCTTCTGGCCTGCAGATATACACACAGACAGAATATTGTATACATAATAAATAAATAAATAAATATTTAAAAAAAAAAAGACATCACAGAGTCCAGTGGTGGTGGTGGTGCACACCTTTAACCCCAGCACTCAGGAGGCAGAGGCAGGAGGATCTCTGTGAGTTCAAGGTCAGCATGATCTACAAGAGCTAGTTCTAGGACAGTTAGGGCTGTAACAAGGAGAAACCTTGAAACACAGAAAAACACACACACAAAAACCTAAAATAAAAGACAGCACAGATCTATAGGATGAATAGTTCCAGAAAATAAGAAAGATTGGGATGTTAAATGTGTCCACTTTTATACACGCTTCCTTAGTGCCTGACTGCAAAGTCATATTACCAACAATATGTTGGTAATATGACTGCAAAGTCATATTACCAACAGCTTCCAGGGACTCACGAGCTAAATCTCACAACCAGCCCCTCTTTACCCTATGCCTGAAGTGGTTACCATACCCACTAGCCCATGTCCACTTATAAATCTTTCCTAATTCTAACTCTTCATGGTTATTGTCCACTTTTAACAATAAGAACAAATTTTTTTTTTCCTTTTTCCTCTGCTTACTCAACCTTCCTGAGCACTGATTCCAGAGCATGCTGGGTCTCACCAGAAGAACAGCAGAATGAGAACAGACATGCAGATTGCTTCCAGTTTCCAGAAGGAGAAAAAAGGCACAGAGAAAATAAATTAGTTAAAGGGAGCCGAGACACATCTTTCAGAGAAGTGCCTTATGAGGTTGTTAGAGACTGTGAAGCTTGGAAGAAAGGAATGACCCAGGACAGAGTGAGAAGTCACTGGTATAAAAATAAAGTTTGACACCATGGGATTACAAAGGATAAACAGAACTGTGGATGATAACAGGCCCCTAGGAAGCAAAACAATCAAGGCAGGGGCAAGAGAGGAAAGAGGGGTGGAACCTGAGAAGCAGTGGCGCCGCAGAGTCAGGGGAACTGTTTCATAGAGAAGCTTGTAGTCCAAAGGCCGAATAGAAATACTGGCTAGAGTAGAGATTGATCAGAAGGCAGAAGAACAAGGGAATCAATAAAGATATATGAGCAACTCAAGCACATTTAAAGGCTGAGGAAGGGAGCGGCAAAATGAAGCAATCTCAGGAAGCAGAGAGAATGGACAGAAGCATTGAACAAAGTCTGGCAGGTGACAGAAGGGATGGGAACAAAGGCAGACTTTTACAAGAGCTGACTAAGGAAAGAAGGCTACCTTAGTCTCTAAAACAGACAATAATAATCATAAAAAATAAATAGTAATAAATAGTCTCTAAAACAAACAAACAAATACAGCTGCTGAGGAGCTCAGGCTGCTTGTTTCCCTGCTGCAGCTGAGATAAGACTGCAGTGACTTAGGTAAGGAATGAGGATAAGCAGGAGAGCGCAGCCAACACACCACCACTCCCCTACCCCCCTCACCCCAACCCCCTCCCTCCCTCCCACTGTCAATGCGACTTGAAACTCCTCAATAGAGTTTATTTATACTCTGCCCAGTTCCACAAAGAATTGCAGGCAACAGAGGAATCTAAGTAAGTTTGGCCAAATGACCTCGAGGGCACAATCTACAACATTTATGTGCTTTTTTGGCAATAAGTAAGAGTGTGATAGGGCACACAGCAAGCAGAAGAGCTCTTGAGCTGCTCTTCTACTGCTCGATGGTACAGCCTGTAATGGCTTCCTCATCCACAGCTGTGAAACTGAACCCAGGCTCTAAAGAAGGGTCTTTCAACATTTGGATTATTTGCTACATCTCTGGAGGGGAGAGTATTAAAATGTCAATATTGGAGTTTGGAAAAGCTAACACAGGACAAAGCAGGACAAAAGCAAAGAGCAGAAGTGACATCCTAGGTTGGTATTCTCCCATTTACTCCGAGTTCTCTTCATAATATTTACAGTACTAACTTTCAACTTTATTTATTTATTTATTTATTTATTTTTGGTATTTTCGAGACAGGATTTCTCTGTGGCTTTGGCACCTGTCCTGGAACTAGCTCTGTAGACCAGGCTGGTCTCGAACTCACAGAGATCTGCCTGCCTCTGCCTCCCGAGTGCTGGGATTAAAGGCAGGCGTGTGCCACCATCGCCCGGCCTAACTTTCAACTTTAGATTTAAAAGTCATTCTAGGGCTGGGGGAGCCAGGGTGTGCTCACTGGTAAAGAATTTGCCTAGCATTCTACATAAAACCCTGTGTTAAATTACCAGCACCACTTCAAAAATACAAATAAATAAAGCTAGGCGTGGTGGTACATGCCTTTAATTCCAGCACTTGGGTGGCAGAGGCAGGCGGAATGAGTCCTCTGTGAGTGAGTCTAACCTGGTCCATAATCAGGGCTACATAGTGAGACCCAGTCTCCAAACCACTCCCCCCCGAAGGGGAAAAGAAAAGCATTCTAAATAATTTATTATTAATACATAGCTTATTAAAAATGAATCAGGGGGCTGAGAGATGGTTTAGTGGTTAAGAGCAACTGCTAGTCAATCCTGAGGACCAGAGTCCTTGTACCCCACGAGACAGCTCACAAATTCCAAGGGATCAATGCCGTCTTCTGGTTTCCATAGGCACCTGAACATACACTCATATAGTCACATAAATACAGGTACATGTATATACGCATAAATAAAATCCTTAAAAAATACTCAGACACCAAGTGTTGTGGCACATGTCTGAAATCAAGAACACCCATCAGGCTAGGATGAATTTAAGGTCATCCTGGGCTACACAGTGGCCCACTAACTCAATAAAGCAAACAAATTAGTATCCGTTGCTCAGTGGTAGAGGCCTGCAACCCCCAGCGCTATAAAAAAATAAAAATAGCAAATCTCTGTAAATTGGAGGCCAACCTCGTCTCCAGAGCTAGTTCCAGGACAGTCAAGGTTACACAAAGAAACTCTGTCTCAAAAAAAAGGCAAATAAATAAACAGAGAGACAGACAGACAGATAGATAGAGGTTAAGAATTGGTCAGTGGTTTTTAGCATGTGATCCCTCTTTTAAAAAAAAAAAATGTACACAATATTTTGCCTGCAGGCCAGGAGAGGGCACCAAACCTCGTTACAGATGGTTGTGAGCCATGCTGTAGTTGTTGGGGAATTGACCTCAGGACTCTGGAAGAGCAGAGCCAGCTCTTAACTGCTGAGCCAGCTCTCCAGTCTGGCACATGATCTCTATCCCCTGCAGCACTTACTTCTTTAGCACCTTTCCCAGCTCTCCTATCTCACAGGTTCTCAATAAAATCATTTGAACCTCTCCAAAAAGAGTCAACAAATAATCCTTTCTTCTTTTCTTTGCTACTGAGGAGTGAGTTAGGCCTAGCATGTGTCTGTAAGAGTTCCACTAGCTGCACCCCCAGGTGTCTTCTGACTTTCTCCTTTTGAGGTAAGGTCTCAGTGCATTGCACTTTATGCATGCTGTCCTTGAATTTATGATCCCCCAGCCTCAACCTTCCCTCAACCAGCTGGGATTACAAGCCTGTACTACTAGAACCAACTATCTTCTGTTTGAAGAGGAAAAACAGAAAAAAAAAAAATCGGGACCCAACATAGTTTGAACACACATTTTTTTTTTTTTTTTGGTGGTCATAGGGATGGAACCCAGGCCTTTGTACATACTTGGCAAGTGCTCTGCCGCTAAGCCACACTTCAGCCCTGATAAAACACTTTTAAGACCCTCAAAGCAACCAGTTTGGAAAAATAAGACAATGAAGTGAAGGACAATATTCGTAACCATCTGACCCACCTGCAATAGTGGAGATCTGGCTCACTGGGATAGTGGCTGCTTTCTGCAAGTCCATCTTTATCTTTTTGGCCTGCCAAAAGAGAACGGTGACATGTTAGATGGTGTTGTGAAAAGCTGAGCACATAGGGGCTGGAGAGATGACTCAGAGGTTAAGAACATAGACTATTCTTCCGGAGGTCCTGAGTTCAATTCCCAGCAACCACGTGGTGACTCACAACCATCTGTAATGAGATCTGGTGCACTCTTCTGGCCTGCAGGCATACTTGGAGGCTGAACACTGTGTACATAATAAATAAATAAATCTTTAAAAAAAAAAAAAAAGCTGAGCACAGGCCTTTACGAATGAGGGAACATGACACACCAAATACTTTCTTTTAGGAGGTCAGGCTGTGGGGTACACTGCCAGAATTTCTGCCACCCAACTCTTCCCTACCTGACTGTCCTTGCTGCTGGTCAGGCCCTCAAAGGCCAACACACATTTGGCAGAAGCATCCTGAAGCTGCTGATACCACTGCATGGTACTGTCTTGTACCTTTACCTGCAATTCTGAGAATAAAAGACAGGTCTCAATGGCAGTGAGCTTATTGAACATGGCATATGAGCTAGAACTATTCTAAGCACTGAGCTATGGATTGACTACGTTAGTGGTCACAATCACACTGTGAAGTAGAAACTACTACTATCTCTATTTAATGAGTAAAGAAATAGACACGGAAAGATTGTTTGCTAAGGTTACACCGCTATACAACTAGAAAGAAATTCCACTGTCTGGCTAAACACATGGCAATGTGATCCTCAAATATATTAAACAAGGTTATCTGTAAATATTACTTAAAATACTTAGTAGTGGGACTGGAGAGATTGCAGTTCAGCAGTTATACAAATGAAAATCCTTGAAAAAAATCCTAAAAATAAGAGTTGCTACTCTTGGAAAAGATTAGACCTCTCTGGTTCCCACATCCACATAGTTGATCACAACTCTTTGTAATTTCAATTCGAGGTACAACAATGCTCTTATCTGGTCTCTGTGGACACCAAGTACACATGTAGTGCACATATGTTCACAAAGGCAAAACATTCATACACACAAAACAAAAATAAATAAATCTTAGCCAGGCAGTGGTGGCGCATGCCTTTAATCCCAACACTCAGAAGGCAGAGGCAGGTGGACCTCTGTGAGTTCGAGGCCAGCCTGGTCTACAAGGGCTAGTTCTAGGACAGGCTCCAAAGCTACAGAGAAACCTGTCTCAAATAAATAAATCTTTAACAGTTCTTTTAAGTCAGGTAGTGGTGGCACACACCTTTAATCCCAGCACTCAGAAGGCAGAGACAGTCGTATCTCTGTGAGTTCAAGGCCAGTCTGGTCTACAGAGCAAGTTCCAGGACAAATTCTAAGCAATAGAGAAACCCTATCTCAAAAAGCCAGGGTGAAAAATACAACAACAAAAACAAAAAACCCAAAATCCTAATTCTTATAAAATACTTAGCAATATTTGGAATAACACACCATTAGACATAACAGCCTTTTCAAGGCTCTTTTCAAGTGCTAGAATTTGAAATTGGTTCCAGATCAACTAAAACACACTTATGTAAAAGTTCTTAGGAACTGGGCCATTCTCTAGTGTGACACATTCTCATTTACTTTTTTATGTTTGTTTTCTTTTAACTCTCCTGAAACTTAAACAGTTAAAGGACTGCATTCACACCAGAACCCACCTTCATTCTGTGTCCCTGCTGGGCCTGGGCTGGGCACAGTGGGCTGAGTGGGAGCCCCTGGACCCTTTTGCACCTGTGATTCTTGCAGCTTGATACGGGCCTCCTCTTCATCCTGCTTCTTTTTAACTTCATAGGCTCTAGTGATCTCCTGCTCCAAATTTGAGAGGAGGTCCCGCATTTCCTGCAGTGTTCGCTCGGCCTCAGCTTGGTGCTCTGCTGTGGGATAGCCACTCTGTAAGAGTGAGAGACAACACTCAACATTCATTTCCCAGGTGCCCGACACCACACACCGTACATTTCTAAAATGGAACTGTTGGACCTGTGCACACACATGATCAAGTACTGATACCTACTCTTTTCCTGTTCTCTTGAAGATTTGCTATCATAGAGCTGGGAGTGTTGGCTCATGCCTGCAATCTTAGCACCTGAGAGGCAGAGGCAGGAAGACTGTTGCAACTCTGAGGTCAGTCAGGGCTACACAGTGAGACCCTGTTTCCAAGAAAACAGCTCAGTGGGTAAGAGTACTTGCTTAGCAACTCTGACTGACAAGCTGAATGTAGTACCTGGATCCCCCATAGAGGTAGGAAAGAACTGACTCCACACAATTGTCCTTCTACTTCCACACATGTGCACACACACACACACACACACACACACACATACACTAACAACAAAATATTTATCATCATCACATTCATAGCAACCAATAATGGAGTTGTTGATGCTTTCATCAACACCAGTCAGAGTAATCTATAAAAAAATTGTGGGCCGGGCGGTGGTGGCGCACGCCTTTAATCCCAGCACTTGGGAGGCAGAGGCAGGCGGATCTCTGTGAGTTCGAGACCAGCCTGGTCTACAGAGCTAGTTCCAGGACAGGCTCCAAAGCCACAGAGAAACCCTGTCTCGAAAAACCAAAAAAAAAAAAAAAAAAAAAAAAAAATTGTGACTAAACCAACTATATGGTGCATATGCAGTAATCCTCGCACTCGAGGACTGATGGGGGAGCAACGCCTTAAGTTCCAAGCCATGTTGAGCTATACAAGACTCTGTCATCAAAAAAAAAAAACAAAAAACAAACCTGGGGTCTAGAAAAATGGCTCAGCAGTTAAAAGCAATTGATGCTCTTGCAGAGCATCTGGGTTTGGGGTCCTGGCACCCATGCCAGGTGGCTCACAACCACCTGTAACTCCAGGTCTAGAAATGACATTGTCTTCTACCCTCCATGGAAACCCACACACATGTGTACATAAAGAAATACTGAGGGGGCTGGAGAAATGGCTCAGCAGTTAAGAGCACTGGCTGCTCTTCTAGAGGTCCTGAGTTCAAGTCCAAGCAACCACATGGTGGCTCACAACCATCTGTAATGAGATTTGGTGCCCTCTTCTGGCATGCATGCAGAACACTGTATACATAATAAATTTAAAAAAAAAGAAAAGAAAAAGAAATACTGACACATATCTATACATACAAATAAAATCTAAAAGAACGGGGGCTGGAGAGATGGCTCAGTGGTTAAGAGCATTGCCTGCTCTTCCAAAGGTCCTGAGTTCAATTCCCAGCAACCACATGGTGGCTCACAACCATCTGTAATGTGGTCTGGTTCCCTCTTCTGGCCTGCAGGCATACAAGTAGACAGAATACTGTATACTAAATAAATAAATATTTAAAAAAATAAAATAAAATTCTTAAAAAAAAAATCTAAAAGAACAAAAAAAGTGTGGGGAGAGTTACAACAATATGCTAGTTAAACATGCTGGTTTTGCTAGGAACACTGGTGCAGGTCTGCAATCCAGCACTAACAAGCTAAGAGGAAGCATTGAGAATTTGAAGTCAGCCATGGCTACATTGCCTCAGTAACAAAGAAACAGAGCTGGGGCTGGAGAGATGGCTCAGAGGTTAAGAGCACTGACTGTTCTTCCAAAGGTCCTGAGTTCAATTGCCAGCAACCATATGGTGGCTCACAACCATCTGTAATGGGGTCTGGTGCCCTCTTCTGCCTGCAGACATACATGGAAGGAATGCTGTATACATAATAAATAAATAAATATTTTTAAAAAAAAACAAAACAAAGAAACAGAGCTATAATTTGTAAAAGTCCTATTAGTGGTGATTCATCCATAAATATTCAAAGTTCTTTTCCAGCTTTTGTTTTTGATAAAATATTAGACTATGTGAGTGTGTGTGTGTGTGTGTGCGCTCACAATTATGAAAGTCAGACAACTGCAGGTCGGCTCTCTCCTGTCACTTGTGTGAGCCGGGAACTCAAGTTCATCAGTCTAAGCACAAAGCCTCTCCCTGCTGGGCATCTGGCAAGCCCCATTTCAGCTTTTTAAAGCCACCTGTCATGTCCTTTGCTCATTTTCTCTTCTACGAGAAAAGCAGAAAGTAAAAGCAGAAAGTAAAAGCATCTTTTTGCACAAATTTCAAGAGCATTCTTGAATCAAGGACATTAAATTTTAGTGTATGTGACAAATATTTCTAAATATGTAATATCTTTAAATTTTCTGTTCTTAGATACATCAACATCTTCTTTATAACTTTAGCTTTTCTTGTGCTGTCAACTACTGACCTCTTTTTATTGTTCTTAATGTTTGTCTCTGGCTTTACACTAAATATAAAATATAGAATACAATGAAAATATGAAGATATATTTAATCTTAATTTTTATGTATTTATAGCTATTATTTGCTAGGTTTTCATTTTACATTACCAGGACCTCATGAAAGCTAACAAATGCTTTACCAGAGAGCTGTCCCAGTTCTTACCCCACTGATAAAGCAATCACTGGTATTTCCTCCAATAGGTAGGCATTATTTTTAAATCAAAATACATTTTTACTTTAAGCAGCTTTGTTGTCATTCTGTAATCCCTACCTCCAAGGTAGTGCGAATGATTCCGGAGATGAGGCTACACAGCTGGTTGCCCCGGGTCTGGAAGGCAGCCAGGTCGACATTCAGCAGGTCCTTGTGCTGATTGGAGGCATCCAGCTGCTGGTTAAGCTGAAGGACCTCCTCTTGCAGAGTGTACAGGCTGCGTAGACGGACCTGGCCTTCCTCCTTCCGAAGTTGCTCCTGCTCTGCCTGCTTCACACGCTGCTGCTCTGCCTCTCGAAGCTTCAGGTTGAGAATCTACTGAAAGGGGCCACTGAGTCGCTGAGTAGGGGAGCCTTTCCCTTTCCACACTGCTCAAACCCTAGGTGAGTTACATCTTTTCACAAGTGGGCTCAAAGCAGAAAATAAATTCCCCAAGGTCAATACACAGGTTAATTGCAATTTTAAGCTTGATTGATTGAAAAATAACCTAGGAGATTAGTAAATCGTACCTCTACAGGTTTCTGAGGGCATTGTCAGGGAGGATTAACAAAAAAGGAGAGCCTGCTCGAATGTGGGTGGTACCATTCCCACAGGTTGAGCCCCGAGGAGGAGAAAGAGAAAAGGGGGAAACCCAGAGTGCAGAGGCTTTCTGGGCCATCTGACACCAACAGTTGAAACAAGCCCCTTTTCCCTTGTCATCACAATGATGAAAAGCTACTACAGAGCCACTAGCCAGGAGCATGATCATAAAATTGATAAAAAATTCAGAGGGCTAGAGACAGTCACCAATTCAATCATGCTGATTCTCCCAGGCACTGACCTTGGCTCTGTGGCGATGCTCAGCTTTTAGCTTCTCCTGGTGGCCCAGGGCTTCTCTGGTACTGATGAAAAAGGCAGAGTCAGGTAGGTCTCCTGAGATGGTTTCCCTCCCCTCACTGTCACAGTAGGGCTTTTCCCAAGGTCGGGCACTTTTGATGTTTAAGGACTGACTTTCACCTGGGGATTTCCCTGGGAAAACAATCAAGCTGACCACACAGACATTTGCAGAAGTCACTCAGGAAGACTGACCTCTTCTCCATCACCTCTTGTAAATCCTGGAATTCCTTGTGCAGCTTCAGTTCCTTCAGCTCATCAAACCTCTTCAGTTGTTCAGATGCCATTTCTGAGAGGGCCCGTACCTTCCTCTCCTGCTCCTCCTGCCACTGCCTCAGGCCCTCCTGAAAAGAACCAGCACCTGCTTTTGGAGTGCCGCAGCCATCTGGCTCGTCTGCTCCTTGACCACTGATTGCCCTCAGCCCTAGAACCTGGGAGATTCCAGAGCAGGGAACCAATAGCTTGCTTCTCAAGAGCTGTGTAAAAGCACTTGTACTTGGAGTGGATTTTTTTTCTTTTTTCTTTTTTCTTTTTTTTTGAGACAAGATTTCATGTAGCCCCTGCAGATCTCAAACTTGTTCTGTAGCTAAGAATGACCTTTAAGTTCTACTTGTCTCCACCTCCTTAGTGCTGGAAATATGAGCATGGGCTCAGTTTTCTATGGTTCCAGTTTCTGAGCCCATGGCTTTGTGCATGCTCAGTAAGTATTCTATCAGTTGAGCTTATTTCCAGTTGTGGTTGTGTATGTGTATGTGTGGAGGGCTAGTGGTTTTGTGGTCTGTGTATTATGTTGTGTGTATACACTTACAGAGCAAAATGTCAAATGTCTTCCTCTATCACTCGCTCTAACTGCCTTGACATGAGATCTCTCACTGAATCAGAAGCTCACCATTTGGCTGAAAGTGGCTGGCCACTCAGCTTTCAAGACATGCCCCTCTCTCCTAATGCTGGGGTTACAGGCACATACATATAGCCATGCCTAGTTTTCTGTATGGGTGTTAGGGACTGGAAGTGAGGTCCTCAAGCTTACAAGGCAAGTGCTCTTTCACAAAACCATTTCCCCAAGCTCTCGCCATTTTTAAGATCTTAATTTGTGCTGGGCAGTAGTGGTGTACACCTTTAATCCCAGCACTTGGGAGGCATAGGCAGGCGGACCTCTGTGAGTTTGAGACCAGCCTGGTCTACAAGAGCTGGTTCCAGGACAGGCTCTAAAACTACAGCGAAACCCTGTCTCAAAAAAAAAAAGGGCTAAAGAGATGGCTCAGAGGTTAAGAGCATTGGCTGCTCTTCCAAAGGTCCTGAGTTCAATTCCCAGCAACCACATGGTGGCTCACAGCCATCTGTAATGAGGTCTGGTGCCCTCTTCTGGCACCAGAATATTGTATACATAATAAATAATAAATAAATAAATATTTTTTAAAAAAAGAGGATCTTAATTTGTTGGGGTTTTTTTTTTTCTGTTTATTTGTTTTGTTTTTGGTGGTTTTAGAGACAGGGTTTCTCTGTAGCTTTGGAGCCTGTCCTAGAACTCTCTCTGTAGAACAGCCTGGCCTCAAACTCACAGAAATCTGCCTGCCTCTGCCTTCTGAGTGTTGGGATTAAAGGCCTGTGCCATCACAGCCTGTCTAATTGGCTGTATTGTCAATTATAGACTCAGGCAAAACTTAATTTTATAAGCTAGAAGTAGTCCCAGGGGAGAAGGCACAAATTAAAAAAAAAAAAATAGAAGTAGTCCCAAAGTCAAATTAATTAAAATACAGCTATTCTTTCAGAAGTTAAAATATATCTGAAACATCTGGACCATCTGCAAATTTTGAAGAACTGGAATATAGGAAACCCTAAGAAACTTTCCTGAAGTTAAAATAGATAGCCAGAAAATGGAACCAAATTTCACTTGAGAGTGTTCACTTTTGATCTTTACATCACACTACCTCCAAAGTGAGCTTTCAGTGGGTGACAAATCATGATTAGCATGTCTCAGTGTCCTCCCCCAGGGGGATCTAGTGAAAGACGGCTCTTTAGTGTCAAGCCTTCCTTGCTTCATTGTCTCACTTACTGTTCCTCTCATTCTGTGCACCAATTCGTACATTCGGATGCAGCCTTCCACTTTGATCGCTCGGGAGGACAGAAGTGCAATAGGTTCAGTGCTCTGGGACTCTCGGGTGTTCTAAACAAAAGATGACAAACAAACAGATAAGTAAATGAATTTTCAACATGGTAAACTTGTGTTGTCTTTATAGACAAAGATCATGTCCTTGTTAGCGTTCCGTCACTGTACTTTTCCTAGAAAATTATCCAAAAGAAAGATTAATTTGGCACCCAGTTCAGAAGTTTCCATACATAGTCATTTGATTCACTTGTTGTTACGGAATATTACTTTAACTATATAAAGATAGTTTACATTTGTTTATGCTGCATTTATTGAATGACATAAAAATATGTGGTTTTGCCCACTGAAGGTGCCTGATTGATCTAATAAAAAGCTGAAGAATGGCCAACAGCTGGGCAATAGAGGCACAGGTGCAGCTGGTGGGCTGAGAGAATAAATAGGAGGAGGAATCTACAAGTCTGGGAGGGAGGGACTGGAAGATGAAAGGTGAGGATAAGAGAACGAGAAAGAGAGGGAGATGCCCCTGGGCCAGCCAAGGAGGAAGCAGGAAAAGTAGGACATACACAATGAAAGAAAGGCAAAAAACCCTGAGGTAAAGCATAGATAAAGGAAAATAGGTTAATATAAGTTATAATATCTAGTTGGATGAGCATAAGATAAGGCCGAATATTCATATAGTAAGTCTCTGTATCACGACTTAAAAGAAAGCCTGATACAACTGGTTGCTTTTTGCTTGTTTCAAGTCTGAGCTAAGTCAGAATATGTAGAGAAAAGCAGCTGATGTGGTATATCCTTTTGTATATGTGTTCCTTTTATTAATTAATAAATAAAGCTATTGTCTACGGCAGGGCAGAATATAGCCAAGCTGGAAGAGATATATATAGAGAGTAGGCAGACATAAGACACCACGCAGCTGGGGGCTGGAGAGATGGCTCAGCAGTTAAGAGCATTGCCTGCTCTTCCAAAGGTCCTGAGTTCAATTCCCAGCAACCACATGGTGGCTCACAACCATCTGTAATGAGATCTGGTGCCCTCTTCTGGCCTGCAGACATACACACAGACAGAATATATTGTATACATAATAAATAAATAAATGTAAAAAAAAAAAAAGACACCACGCAGCTGCCAAAGGGAACAAACGCCAGATCCTTATCAGTAAGCCACAGCCTCATGTCAATATACAGATTAATAGAAATGGGTTAATTTAAGATGTAAGGGTTAGTTAATAAGAATTCTGAGCTAGGGCTGGAGAGATGGCTCAGTGGTTAAGAGCATTGCCTGCTCTTCCAAAGGTCCTGAGTTCAAATCCCAGCAACCACGTGGTGGCTTACGACCATCTGTAATGATGTCTGGTGCCCTCTTCTGGCCTGTAGGCATACACGCAGACAGAATACGTATACATAATAAATAAATTTAAAAAAAAAAGAATTCTGAGCTAAAAAACAAACAAACAAACAAAAAAGAATTCTGAGCTACCCTGAATGCGCCCGATCTCGTCTGATCTCGGAAGCTAAGCAGGGTCGGGCCTGATTAGTACTTGGATGGGAGACCGCCTGGGATTACCGGGTGCTGTAGGCTTAAAAAAAAAAAAGAAAAAAAGAAAAAAGAATTCTGAGCTAAAAAACAAACAAACAAGAATTCTGAGCTAATAGGCCAAGCAATGTTGTAATTAATATATTTTCTGTGTGATTATTTAGGTCTGGCCAGCTGGGAATGAACAAGCAGTCTCTGCCTACAAAATGGGGCTCGAACATGGGGCAACTACATTCACATAAAACCTGAGAGATTGGGAAAAAATTCCAGACACAAAAAGAACAGAGTTAAGTACAGCTTCTTGGTAGCAGCATTTTTCTCGGGTGGGCTCTGTTTGCCAGAGGCAAGCAGAGACATAATTCCTGTAAGAGAAAAATTCCTACTCAGCATTAGCAGCAAAAACTGCATGGTTCCTTTAAGAGCAGGGCTTCCTGGTTCGTGCTGGTACAGTTACAGAGCACTTAAATGGGGTCTGTGTGTAGCATGTTACAAACTGCTTAATGGCAACATATACCCACTGTATCCCTGGAGCTGGGGTGGTAAGTATGACTTGCAGAGGTCATGAACATGCCTTCCCAATGTTGCACTAGGTGGGGCCAACGAAAAGGGTCACAGAATTGGCGCTGTGCATGCCACTTAACATTAAAAAAAAAAAAAAGGCCGGGCGGTGGTGGCGCACGCCTTTAATCCCAGCACTCGGGAGGCAGAGGCAGGCGGATCTCTGTGAGTTCGAGACCAGCCTGGTCTACAAGAGCTAGTTCCAGGAGAGGCTCCAAAACCACAGAGAAACCCTGTCTCGAAAAACCAAAAAAAAAAAAAAAAAAAGGCAACCGAGTGGTGGTGAGCACAGCACTTGGGAGGAAGAGGCAAGCAGATCTCTGTGAGTTCAAGGCCAGCCTGATCTACAAAGTGAGTTCCAGGACAGGCTCCAAAGCTATAGAGAAACCCTGTCTCGAAAAACAAAAACAGCAGTCAGTCATAGATTAAAGAGGTGAAGAAAAGTAAGTCATGTCAAGATGGAATATACACAGAGAATCAGAATTATGTATATTATTGTGAATTTTTTGACTGAAGAGACATTTGATTCTGGGTGCTGCTAAGCTAAACCAACATATTTTAAAGGTATCTTGACTTCAAAATTTGAATCTAAGGATATGGTTCTTTTGAAAAGAGATTCTGCTTTTGTTTCCACAGAAGATGAGAACTTGTATATTCCTTCCAGGCTAATGTGGTTCGATGGAACAAACTTCCCACAAAAAATGTCTCTGTGAACCCTAAAAATAATTTGCCCAACAAACAGCTGGAAGCAGTTTGGAGAAAGCAATGCCAAAATCCCCAAAATGATTGTTTATAAATGTTTATTTTCATTTCAAAAGGGTTAGTAAAAATGTTAATGGAAATGAGGGGGATATGATATAGAGATGAATACTTTGTATTGGTATGGATCTTGGTCTATTGATACAAATTTAACATCAATTTGCTACACTATTTGTATGTATTTCTGCTCTTGTTTAAGGTATTGTGTTTGTGCAGCTCATTTAAAAATGTAATGTATAGTTAAGAAATACAGATTAGTAGTTATCTGTTATAATCAAACTTTTAATTATATTAGTTTTCTAAATATACAGAGATGTATTTCAGTTAGATAATCTTCACCACTCCAAAGACCTATAGAATATGGCATTTAAAATGTTTTAAGAACATAGAAAGTGAGGCATGTCTGTTTCTGGCAGCACCAATTACTTCAAGATAGGCATCGAAGAGTCTCTTTATGGAGTTTGCTAGCCATTTGGGCAAAAAGCTGCTCTTGCCTGGACTGCTTTATGATATGCTGTATGAATTTGACATGCAGAACCCATAGAAAAGTGACTGCTAAACTTTCCAAAAGAAGAGATGGTCCTTCAGGGTTCCTGCTTCATAGAACAAACTGCGAGACATTCTACTGGACACAGAAGAAAGCAAATGATGAACTTTGCCATTAGAAGGCAGAACAGATCTTCAAATTTCCTGCTTCATAGAAAAGTCTGCTGGATACTATGGGCTTGTAGGCTAAAGATGGATGCCCCAATGTTACAGAAGAACCTTGGGTGAAATCCAGGCAGCAAGATGTCTCCATCAATTCTAGAGTTTTGGAAGTTACTTAGAATGCACTTCCTGTTTATTTAGGTAAAATTATATACTTCTGGAGTCTTTGAAGAGTTAAGACAGTTAGTTATAGTTTTCCTTAGTTATGATAAAGTAGATATAAAGCTTTAGACTTACAAACATAGAGTATTCTCCTTAATTTGCCAGATGTGAATGAACTAAATATTGTACCATAATTCTTGCTTGATAACTGTTTTGTAAATTTGTTATGTTAATGTTAAAAACAACCTTCCTTTTATTTAGACAGAAAAGGGAAGATAATGTGGGAGGTCCTTCTGTATATGAGTTGCTTTTATTGGTTAATGAATAAAGCTGCTTTGGCCTGTGACAGGGCAGAATATAGCCAGGCTGGAAGAGATACAGAGAGAGAGTAGGCAGAGTCAAGGAGATGCCATATAACTGCCAAAGGAAACAGGCGCTGGATCCTTACCAGTAAACCACAGCCTCATGCCAATACACAGAATAATAGAAATGGGTTAATCTGAGGTGTAAGAGTTAGTAATAAGAAGTAATAAGAGTTAGCTTAATAAGAAGCTTGAGCTAATAGGTCAAGCAGTGCTGTAATTAATATATTTTCTGTGTGATTATTTGGGTTTGGGTGGCCAGGAATGCACAAGCAGTCTTCACCTACAAGTAGCCACTGTAGGGTGGTTGGGAAGCAAAAGAAAGAGAGAGGAGGAGGCCTGGGATTAGATTTGAGTCACAAGGATCCACTCCCTTCAACTTGATGCCACCTACTATGTTTACAACCCTGGCAATCTATCAGATGATGAACCGATCAATGTATTAATCTACTGAAGATAATGATCTAGTCACTTCCCAAAGCCTCACCTTTGAATGTTGCTGCTTGGGGGGCAGGGGGAGTTCAACCCAGATCCTTTAAGGGACTCTTGAGTTCCAAAGCCTAACACATCCTACTTAGAAACCAATAATGAGCTTATAAACCCACCAATAATGGAAATAATTTAGGTTCATGTCAGAACACAGTACAAGTCATACAAGAGGATTTCTGAGTGCTTTTAAGAAAATTCCAAGAACACATGACAAGCATCTTGCGACCACAGTTTCTTCAAAACACAAAATTGTTCTTGGAATGTGCTTTTGTGCCCCTCCCACATGTAGCAGAGAGGGGAGAGTTTATTTCTGATTATTCATTATAACTGCTTGTTATTTATATGTCTCTATGGGAAAACATGTTTTTACCACATGTGTGTGACTGAACACCTCACTCATGTGACTCTTCTTCTTAACCCTCAGAGTATAAATTGCCTAACACTCTGAATATAGTTGCCTATTTACATAAGGCTTCCCTCTGTCTTATTTTTAGGCCCCACCCTCCCAGGTTCACACTGCCAACGAGAGTGGTAAACAGAATCACTGCATTTTTCATGACTCAGCTTTGTTCATCCCTCTCCCCATTCCTGGCCCTAACTGATTTACATTTGATCTTCTCCAAAAGGCCAAGAAGCACAATACTTTTCTGTAGTGATATTTTATTTATATTTTAATAAATAAGCTTGCCTGAAGATTAGAGTACAAAGCTAAGCCACTATAAACCAGGGAGTAGTGGCACACACCTTTAATCCCAGGACTCAGGAAACAAAGGCAGACGGATCTCTGAGTTTAAGGCTACCCTAGGCTACACAAAACTGATCCAGAAACAGATCCAGGTGGTGGTGGTTCACCCTGTTAAACCCAAAGTTTGGGAGGCATTCACCCTTAATCTGGGCAATAGGACGGTAGAGATAGGAGCAATATGGCTGTGTGGAGAAAAGAATATAAGGGGGAAGAGATAGGCTCTCCTTTGAGTGTAGAGTCTGAGCTTTGGTGGAAACAAAGTGCAATCTAGGCAGTCTGAGGTAGGGTAAAAGGTCTCTCTAGTGGCTTACTGTTCTGCTTCTCTGACCTTTAGCTTTAACCCCTATGTCTATCTCTGGGTTTTTTATTATTCGTGCTACACTTTTCTTCTTTTTTTGAGACAGCATCTCACTATGTAGCTGTGGCTGGCCTGGAATTTACTATGTGGACCAAGCTGGCCTTGAACACCTGCCTCTGCCTCTCAAGTGCTGCAGTTAAAGGTGTGTGCCACCTAGTGTCACACTGGTCTTCTTTAATAAATGATGTTTCTTCTTGGGCTGGGGAGACAACTTAGTGGGTAAAGTGTAAATAGAAAGGCTTCTAAGGTTGTTTGATCCCCACAAATCCATATAAATCTGCATGGTAGCATATGCTCATAATTCCAACACTGGGGAAGAGGAGACAGGAAGACTCCTTGAACTGCTGCTCTGCCAGTTAATCCTAATTGGTGAGCTCCAGGCCAGTGAGAGACACTGTCTCCAAAAACAAGGTGAAGAGCCGAGCATGATAGCACATACCTTTGATCCCAGCACTAGGTAGGCAGTTGGATCTCTGTGAATTTAAGGCCAGCGTGGTCTACAGGACAGCTGGCCCTTGAGAATAAATACCCAAAGCTGACCTCTGGCCTCCACACACATGCATACATCCACACATACACAAGAACACTGGGAGACATGATAAATATTGTTCCTACAAACAGCTGCAATAGGAAACAATCATTTCCCCAGGGTAATGTCACTCTCATGTGACTGTATTATACACTTCAATTTTGCAGCCAACAGGTATTCTGTCTTCATACCTTACCTTGGTTCCATTTGGTGTTGAAGGTGAGGGGGATTCTGGGGTACTTCTGACAGGAGACTTAAGAAGTGAGGGTTGGTCCAGGCCTGAACCAGATCCAGAGGATGGCGAATGATCAGAGGAAGGAGAGTTCTCTTGCGCATGGGGTGAGGTGTTGGGTAGGACGTGATCTACCACCCATCCAGAGTAAGAAGACAGTTTGGGAAGAGATGTGCATTCCTCCAAAACATCCTAAGGAGACAATGGTTGAGCCTATTTGTATACCCACTGACAGAAGATATTACATGCAATGTTTAACAACTGAGGGCCCAAGCAAAGAAAAAAGTTAACACTGAAGATAAAGGTACTGCACTAACAATCAGAGATGAAAAGACAGTAGGCTTTCTTCATCTTTTTGTTTTTGAGACAGAGTATCAAATTGAGATGACCTTGAACTGACCCTCCTGTCTCCACTTCTGAAGTGCTGAGATCATAAGCCACTGTACACAGCAATAGTGGTTTATTACTGCTGCTGTTATTTTATTAATGTGTTTTAAAATGTACTAGTACTGTTAGTGTGTATGTAGAGGCTCATGTGCCACAGCGCACACGTGGAGGTCAAAGGGTAACTTGTAGAGTCAATCCTGGTATCCACTCTCACATAGGTCCTGGGAATTGAACTCAGTCATTGAGCTTATGCAGCAACCAACTATACCCATGGAGCTAATCTCATCAGCATGAGTGGATACTTCATGACCCGGACCATATATCTATAAAAAAGTCAGATTAAAGTCAGATGTGTTGGCACATGCCTAGAATTTTAATACTAAGGGAAGTAGTGGGAGGAGCGTCAGGAGTTCAAAGCAAACTTCAGGTACAAAAGCAGTAGTTCTTTAATCCCAGCACTCGGGAGGCAGAGGTAGGCGGATCTCTGTGAGTTCGAGATCAGCCTGGTCTACAGAGCTAGTTCCAGGAGAGGCTCCAAAGCCACAGAGAAACCCTGTCTCGAAAAAACAAAAAAAAAAAAAAAAAAAAAAAAAGCAGTAGTTCTTAACCCATGGATCACAACCTCTTTGGAGTCACATATCAGATATCTTGTATATCAGATATTTACATTACAATTAATAACAGTAGCAAAATTTCTGTTATGAAGTAGCAACAAAATAACTTTGTGTCTGGGGGGATCACCACAACATGAGGACTGTATTAAAAAAGGCTTGTCGCAGTAGGAAGGTTGAGAACCACAGCCTAAAAGGAACAAATTTTTAAAACTTATGGTTTGTGTGTGCAAGGGATGGTGGAGGGTGGGGTACCATGGTGTCTGGACGTAAGCGTTTGTAAAGTTTGTTTTCTCCCTCCAACTTGACATCGATTCTAGGGGTTGAATGCAGGCCTTCAGGCTCCTGTAGCAAGTGCCCTTATCAGTTGAGCCATCTCACTGGCCCTCACTAAGGCAACTATGAAAGGAATCAAAAACATCAGAGAGAATACAGCCCGGGAGAAATTATCAAGCAAACTATCGTGTTTGGAGTCCGAAGGTATCCTCACACTAGGTATGGTTGTTCAAGCCTGTGAATACAGATAAACTCGATATACTGCCATGAGGCAGTAGGCGGGCACATGTGATCACTGATTAGAAAAGCCACCAACAAGCATTAAGCGACGGGCATTGCAAATACTAGTTACAGGGATCACGTCCACATCCCCAGGTCTGCCAGAAATATAAAACTGGGCTCATTACACTGGCAGCACTAGAATTAGGTCAAATCAAACACTCTTCGAGAAACCTGGGGTTCCGTGCAGTGATTCTCAACCTCCACATGCTGCGACCTTTAAATACAATTTCTCATGTTGCGGTGACCCTAACCCATAACGTTTATTATCTTCGTTGTCACTTCCTAACTATAATTTGGCTATTATGAGTCGTAATGCAAATGATGTGTTTTTCCGATGGTCTTAGGTGACTACCCCCAAAGGAGTCGCGACCCACAGAATGAGAACCGCTGTCCTAGCAAACTGGTTATAAAGCAAATGAAGAGAATGAGAGGCCAGAGCTGCTGACAAGATACCGCAGCCGGCACTGGGGTTACGGTGACGTCTCGGGCAGGAGGCTTCCCGTGAAGTGCAGTAGCCATAGATCAACTAGAACAGGCGGGATAAGAGTGTGTGCACGGGAGTCAAAAAAGCAACCCGGCCCATCGCCACGCCCGGTCCTCCGCGTCCGGCTCGAGGGAGCGTTGTAATCGCGTGACGACGGCCGCCGCTCACCTCGTAGTGCACCAGCCACTCGCGGTGGTAGCGCAGGCGGCCTTTGCTGGAATTCCGCAGCGCGCTTAGAGTTTCCCAGCAGCGACCCTCGGACGGCATGGCGGGCAACCGGCAGCGCCTCAGAAAACTCTACTGACAAAACAAACCCTCGAATCCGCCGCCCAGGGGGCGCCGGACTCCGCTTCCGGGCTTCCCGCCCCACATCCGGCGCAGCCTGGTCCGTAATGGTCGCAGACACACCTCGTCAGCGACGACCCGCCCACTAGGCAACTCCTGCGCTTGCGCAGATGGCTGTGCGAGCAAGAAAGCGGAAATGAGGCTGTGTGAGGCCGCTACTGTGAGAGACTGACAGTTCTGGAGAAGCCAAACGGAGGAATCATTTCTAATAGAGCTACGCTAGAAAAATGAAACGCGTCCGCACTGATGGTTGTACATGAATATTCATACCGGTATTAATAGTAATGTGATAGCCTCCCAAATCATCTGAATTGGTAAAATATTCTGTGAAGTCCAATGGAATCCTTCCCCTGTCCCGGGTAAATATAGTACATTCTGTAACATAAACCTTGAAAACATTTTGCTAAGAAAAAGCGACACTTTGCTGGGCGGTGCTAGCGCATGCCTTTAATGCCAGCATCTGAGAGGCAGAGGCCGGTGGATCACTGAAACCCTGTCTCGGGGCGGGGGGCGGGTGGACGACCCAAAACAAAAAAGCAAGTAAGGACAGAACACAATATACAATTCCTTTCATGTGAGGTCTCCAGAATGAACAAACCCAGAGCCATTAGAGATTGTCAGACAAGTGAGACATCGAGTGTCTGCAAATGAGGGCGGGGTTTCTTGGTGTTCATGAGATGAACTAAAATTAGATCATGGTAATAATCACACTCTGGTAAATATACTAAAAAACTGAATTGATGCGGGAGGGTAGTGGCGCACGCATTTAATCCCAGCACCCGGGAGGCAGCGACAGGCGGATCTCTGAGTTCCAGGCCAGCCTGATCTACAGAGCGAGTTCCAGAATAGGCCCCAAAGTTACTGTCTCGAAAAAACATAAAAACAAAAAACTGAATTGATAACTTTGAATTTTAATAGGTCCCATTTAACCGTTCCTTATTCCACCACACATGGTTGAATCTTAATGTAATTTCGTTCATAAATGCCCAGAGATGGCTTTGATGGATGCTCTACACTTTTTGACCTTCTACTACCCGTGACTCTGTGACATCTTTTGAGATGGGAAAGAGGATAAACAGTATTTTTTTCTGGAGAGATGGCTCAGGTGTTAAGAGTGCTTACTAATCTTGCAGAGGATCTGAGTTCAATTTCCAGCTCCCACATGGCAGCTCACAATGGATACGTCAGCCCTAGCAGATCCATTGCCCTCTTTCTGGTCTCTTTGGACATGAGGCATGCACATGGCGCACATACATACATAATTTTTCTTATTGTTTTTAAAATTCTTTTACTTATTTCTATTTTATGTATTAATGCTTTACATATAGACCTGCAGGCCAGAAGAGGGCATCAGACCTGTTATAGATGGTCATGAGCCATCATGTGGTTGCTGGGAATTGAACTCAGGACCTTTAAAAAAGCAGCCAGTGCTCTGAAACACCAAGCCATCTCTCCAGCCCCTTGTTTCTGTGAACTTCTAGCCAGGCAGTGGTGGCACACGCCTTTAATCCCAGCACTCGGGAGGCAGAGGCAGGCGAATCTCTGGGAGTTCGAGACCAGCCTGGTCTACAAGAGCTAGGTCCAGGACAGGCTCCAAAACCACAGAGAAACCCTGTCTCGAAAAACCAAAAAAAAAAAAAAATCTGTGAACTTCTAGTAAAATATTTTATAAAGGTTAATACAAGAGTCCCAGGAGTTATCTGAGTGTGGTGATCCTAGCACTTGGGAGGCAAAAGCAGGCAGATCCCTGAGTCTGAGGCCAGCCTGGTCTACAAAGTGAGTTCTAGGTAGCCAGGGCTACCCAGAGAAACCCTTGTCTTGGAAAAAAACAAAAACAAAAAATATCACCAGGAGTGGACTCCAAGTCAAAACAGTTACACAGTTACACAGCTCAACCCTGTGGTGCAGAGGTAGTTACACTAGTTTGATAAAAGGAAAATGAATTACACACAGAGAAAAACACACACACACAAATATGTGTGTTAATCTAAGTGTGCCAACTGTTCTTGAGAAATTCTTTGGGAGCCAGGGCATGGTGGCACATGCCTTTAATCACAGCATGTGGGAGGCAGTGACAGGGGATCTCTGATTTGAAGACCAGGCTGATCTACATGAGTTCTAGGCTATCTAGAGGCTACTTGGTAGGTTCCTGTCTCAAACAAAAAAGTGTATTTGTTTTCAGTGTGTGAATAAATGTGCATGAGTGTTGTGGGGTAATCTTTTTGTACAGTGCCTAAGATGCCTTCTGATTGATTTAATAAAGAGCTAAGTGGCCGGGCGGTGGTGGCGCACGCCTTTAATCCCAGCACTCGGAGGCAGAGGTGGGCGGATCTCTGTGAATTCGAGACCAGCCTGGTCTACAGAGCTAGTTCCAGGACAGGCTCCAAAGCCACAGAGAAACCCTGTCTCGAAAAACCAAAAAAAAAAAAAAAAAAAAAAAAAAGAGCTAAGTGGCCAAAAGCTAGGCAGCAGAGGATAGGCAGGATTTCCAGGGAGAGAGAGGAACTTGGGAAGAATCTGAGGCATGTGGATTTTCGCCAGCCAGACCCAGGAGTCGGACTTAGAGTATGGAGAAGAAGTAACAAACCACAGGACAGAATATAGATGAATAAAAACAGGGTAAGTTATAAGAGCTAGTTGTGAACAAGCCTAATCAAGCTAGGGCCAAGATTCACGGTTAATAAGACATTTCTGTGTTATTTGAGAACTGGCAGTCGAAAGTAAGTCTTGTTGGGCCCTAAAGCCCCTCCAAGGAGGTGGTCGCCCCAAGAGACACTCACAACTTGGTTGATGCAATAGCAAGAGGAATTTTTATTCTGCCGCAGCATAGGTCCCCCAGCCTCGAGAGGAGAAGGACAACCGCTTTGTCTATTACAAGCTCTTTTAAAGGAAAAAACCACAAAATCAGGGAGGGGGGGTGTACAAAATCAAAGGGAAAGCCCAAAAATCATTTGTCTACTATTTTGACTAGTTCATTTAATGGTCAGCTAACTCTACTTAGTCAATGTTGTAACAGTTACAAGGAGGAACCTTGATCAATGTCATGGTTACAAGGAGGAACCTTGATCAATGTCATGGTTACAAGGAGGAACCTTGATCAATGTTATGGTTACAAGGAGGAGCCTTGATCAATGTTATGGTTACAAGGAAGAGCCTTGATCAATGTTATGGTTACAAGGAGGAACCTTGATCAATGTTATGGTTACAAGGAAGAGCCTTGATCAATGTTATGGCGGTTACAAGGTCGTCTCACCCCAGTTCCAGGGTCCGGGTCTATACAATGGAGATGGAAAGTACTCAAAGCTCTCGTGTACATGTTGTTGGTTACCAGGGCCCTGGTTCCCAGGAAGGGGGGTGCAGTAGTGCTAAGGTGCCTCTAAGTCTTTCAGTCTGACTAGACTACATGGGAGTCAGAGGCCGAAGGCCAGAGGAATTCATGTCCTAGGGGTTGGACTGACTTGCTGCCTGATGTGGGCAAGAACAGTTTGTACTCTTAACTACATCTCTGCAGCCCACCTTGATAAATTCAAGGTCCTCTGCAAGAGCAAGAAGGCACTTTTTTTTTCTCAGACTCCTTGGTGTTCCTCCTCAAACCACCAGAACAAAGGGTCTTAAGGGTTCTCTCTCCAGAACCAATCTTGGGTTCCACTGGGGCAGTTTGGAGGTTTTTTTTTTTTTTTGATTTTTCGAGACAGTGTTTCTCCGTAGCTTTTTGGTTCCTGTCCTGGAACTAGCTTTTCTAGACCAGGCTGGCCTCGAACTCACAGAGACTCGCCTGCCTCTGCCTCCTGAATGCTGGGATTTTTTTCTTGAGACAGGGTTTCTCTGTGGCTTTGGAGCCTGTCCTGGAACTAGCTCTGTAGACCAGGCTGGTCTCGAACTCACAGAGATACACTTGCCTCTGCCTCCCGAGTGCCACCACTGCCCGGCAGGTTTGGAGGTTTCAAAAGACTCCGATTCCTGGTGCTCCCTCTCTGCCTCCCTCGTGGGATCTACATGTAAGCTCTCTGCTATTTGGTCCACATTTCTGAACTCTAACCCTCTGAATCAATAAGTGAAATTAAACACTGTCTTTTAGAAGCTACTTTGGTCATGGTGTTTTATTCTAGCAATAGAAAAACCAAAAACCAAAGAGAAAAATATATGAAAAAGGCCAGGCGGTGGTGGCACACGCCTTTAATCCCAGCACTCGGGAGGCAGAGGCAGGCGGATCTCTGTGAGTTCGAGACCAGCCTGGTCTACAAGAGCTAGTTCCAGGACAGGCTCCAAAACCACAGAGAAACCCTGTTTCGAAAAACCAAAAAAAAAAAAAAAGTGCTTTCTCTGAAGAACATGCTTTGTTTTATAGCATTTGTGGTTTCTGGTTGGTGATAGTAGTGATGGGGGAAGGGCCCTGAAGATTAGACCTAGCCCTTGGGGCTGGAGAGATAGCTCAGCAGTTTAGAGTACTTGCTGCTCTTACAGGACCTGGTTTCAATTCCCACACTCCTGGTGGTTCTCAACCATCCCTAACTCCAGTATTATGGACTCTGATGCTCTCTTCCGACCTCAGAGATTTCCAAGAACACAGATGTTACACAGCACATATATACATGCAGGCTATTCACCCATAAATACATAAATCCAATTTAAAAATTAATCAAAACAAAGCAAAACCCTAGGCTCTCATACATGTGCACATACTAAGCAAGTACTCCACACCACCCATTTTTTAAAAACAGGAAAATACACAATTGCCCAGAATCTTCTCATGTGGAAAGCAGATGGTATTTCTGACACAAATATAGGCACATCCCACACCTATCTACCCTCTTAAAGCGGTCATCCCCAAACCCTGAATAGTAGGGCCTGCAGCTCGAAGGGTCTTGCCATTAGCCATCAGGTGCCTTATCTTACAAAAGCACCTATCTCTTCCATCATGAAATGAAAAGTTGGTAATTCAAGCATCAGCTACTCTGCAAACTCATGTTTTCTCACATGAATTTTTTTGTTGTTTTATTTGGTTTTTGTTTTT